TTCAACTTACAAATGTTAGTTGGTAGACTCACAAGTCTATGGCAAAAATTCAACGATAATTTACTTATATCTCGGGGAAGCTCAGAAAACTCACCAAGAGATGTGCAGCCATATAGATTAAAACTACTAGAGGCTTTCAGCTTACAACTATTGCTTCGAAGTTTCTCAAGGTCCTTGCAATGACTTACTCAAGTAAGAAATCTTTTCGTTATACCAAACTGATTCATGCAACTCCTTTATACCAGTATTTTGTAAACTTAAGTACGTAATATTTCCTGGCATCTTTGGAAGATACTTGAGACTGCTGCAGGCTTCGAGATCAAGACGAGTAAGCTTGTCATGATGTTGAAAATACGAAGGAATTTCAACCAAACTTTTACAGCCCTAGAGATTTATCTCCACAAGTTTTAGACTCCCATAGAGATTTGGAACTTCAGTTAGATATAGAGAGCCCTCCAGATTGATAACTTTTAAGTTGACAAGTATCTGCAACAAATGAAATAGAAATATAAAGAATTAATATAATTTCTACACTTGATTTTATACAAGAATTAAAATAGGCATACAATATAATATGCCTGCTCTTCTTTCCAAAGCTTCTTAACTTTGCTCTCTGGCAAATGAAGCTCAACTACATTTTTCGGAGAAAAATTTGATGGCAAATATTCGAGTGGATATCCCAACCACTCAAGATAACAAAGAGAATCGGGTAGGTTTAGAGGAGCAGTCAATTGGCCAAACAAGCTTAGAATTATTAGGTTAGGCATCTTTTTGAAGTCAACACGATTCAATGGTCGCTCTTGAATCTTAGACCAATTAGCAAATCTGGCTTCAACATTTGGAGTTTCCTGAGAATAAGAAGAAAGTTTAAATGTGAATATAACATGCTAAAATGTAACGCACATTTGGAAAAAGAGTATTTCCGATGGTAATGATGTACAAGTGTCTTAGTCTAGTCAAATATCCAAGATATTTGGTTCATATTCCAAAGACTTCCTAACACAATAAAAATTCAATCAAATTCATCTTTTAACAATCTGAGTTCTTTATTATAAATTAGTTTTACTTTGTTCTTGTTATCATCTAAAATTTGTAATTTTTTTCCTAAAAAAAAAAAAGAAAAAAATTTGAATGCATTTGGCTCTTACCGTGTTACTCTTCAATACATAATAGACATCCTCATTAATGAACAACCTATTCCATTTACAGGGATTTTTAATACATTGTTCCTAAACAGTTGTCCTTCCCATTTCTTGTAGCAAATCGTGCATCTCTATGGTTTCCCTTCCCCATTTTGAATCAATTGATATGAGAGACATATCAATTGAAATTGTCAGTATAGTCCGAGCTACCAAACAAGACCTAATAAATAACTGTATGCCAAAATAATTAAGTAATATTCATATTAATATAAAATAATACCCTAATTTCCTTTTCTTTTCATAATAACCAAATCAAGAGTTGTCCCTTGTTTTAATAGTAACTTATTAAATATAGTCCATTGTGATTGGAACGGCACTTGATGTACCACACCATGTTTTCAGCACACTGAAAAATTTCTCATATCTGTGGAACTGAGTGGCAATATGCCATTGATAACATAGATGGAGATTCCTTTTTTTGAATGGAGAACAAACGTTTTGCACATAAAATTTTCGTTACTAAATGTAGTTGGAAGGATGGTGAAATTTGAGTGATGCGTACAATTTGGTGTATTGATGTACACAAGATAGCCACACAAGCACATAAGAGCATCTCCAAAGAAGATGTCAAAAGATAAATGTCAAATGTTAATTTGATGGCTGACGTGGCAATGTCAGATTTTTTTCTTTTTCCAACCGATATGTTTTTGTTTTTTTTTTTTTGTTATAAATGATATTTGTAAGATTCATTTTAAAAAGAAATCAATTAAAATAAATTTTCAAGATCTATAACGGTGCATTAATGAGACTCGTACAATAAAATAATTAAAAATTATTTGACATCACCGTTTCTCATATGTCAATCCACATAGGATTGACATATCAGTTGGAGCTTATTCTTACCTTCAAATTTGATCAGTTGTAGATGTCAAATCCTAAGTAAAATGTCATGTAATCAAATTTGAAAGTAGGAGCAAACTCCAACCGATATGTCAATCTTATGTAGAATGACATATGAGTTTTCATATGTCAAATTTGACATATAAGAAAATGTGATGTCAAATAATTTTTAATTATTTATTATGTGGGTCCCATTAATGCACAAATTATAGATCTTGAAAATTTATTTTAATTGATTTCTTTTTAAAATGAGTCCTATAAATATCATTTATAACAAAAAAAAAAATCTAATATTGCCACATCAGCTATCAAATTAATATTTGACATTTATCTTTTGACATCTCATTTGAAAACCTTTAACATTAACTTTTACCCGGTCATTGTAAAGATGCTCTGTCCCACCATTGACATAGTTATATTGGCTTCCTTGGAAACTCTTTTCCATGAAAAAAAATCCATTTCATCACACATACTACAGAAATATTGCTCAAATTTAATATCTATGTTGTAACTCCAAATTTCCAATTACAAGTTATGTTTGTACTCATAACTTTCTGTTTACACATAAGCAACTGTTCTTAACATTTGCAAATAAGAAGGTGCAACTATTTATATTAAAAAATAGTTAGGAGCACATAAATTGACATGTACTTTTATAAATTTAAGAAATTCGTCTCGGTGGTCTGGACATTTGCTACAACTGAGAACAAAAGAAGCTCACAAAATAGAGTTGCACACTTCAATGCAGAATGGCCGGCGACATACGCCAAACTAACATATACAATTACAAAAAAATGGAAACTAGACAAGGTTGTAGCTCCAATTAAGAATGCATTACATTATTTGTTGATGTTTTCCAATTACATCAATTACTAGGGCCAGTTCCTTGATTTTGATCCGAAAATTAGTACTACTTCAAAGATCCCTAATCTTTTATTGAATAGACCCTTCCATCCACACATCATGCAATACAAGAAGTTTTATGGACTAATTAAATGGCAAAAATGAGGCTCAAAAGGGATCAATCAAAATGCCTTAATTGTATCAACTAATGAAAGGGTTTATAATCATATTTTAGAATACTAATAATTGATCGTCTCATTAAAGAAGAAGAGGACATGAAACCGATGAAACTCAACATAACACTGTCGTGGACATGAGCTGCTTGTTGGTCATGATAACAATATATAATCTATGGGGTTGTTTAGATTATGAATTAGGTTTCATCTTTAACCGAATTTAGAGAACGATGTGCAACTGCAGTTTATAGTCTGACAATATAACATATCAAATATCTAACAAATCACTCTGATTTCTAAATTGTAGCTTCCTTCTCAATCTCGCATTAATATGTACCTTTCTCTATGTGCACGTTTTTGTTTCCCCACTATGTACAAGTTGACAAATAAAAAAAAAGGTAAATTACACAGAACTACTTCAACCATAAGTCGACTCACTTTCATACCTCATGTTTTAAAAATTACAATGTCATACTTTATCTTACAAATTTGTTGTAATGTTAAACCTCCGTCAGTTTTCTATCAATTACTTTGTTAAATGCTAACGTCACTTGAGACCGACCCCACTTCTTAGTCCAACTAGATTAAAAAACTAATTAAATATTAAAATTAATTAATAAATCATTTAAGTATATTTATTTAAAAATATGGGACCCATACAAACCCATCACCCTCACCAAATTAACCAAACACTCCCCTTTTCATCCACACCAAATTACTCTCTGTAACCAAACACTCCCCACAATCTCCATGCCAATTTCAAACAGAAAAACCCAATTCCCCCCAAACCCTTACTCTAAATTTGAAATTCTTAATCATCCCCACACAAGGTCCACACCACCACCGCCGTCGCCCACGGCCTCAGTCTCCTCCTTGCCCACAGCCTCCGCTAAGCAGCCCCAGCCTCTGCCGCCAACCAGGAGAAGTGGTACGCGATGAGGAGGGGCGAGCTGAAGTCGAGCCAGTGGGAAGAGGTGGCGATGACCATGGCAGTTAGGTGCGGCTACGAGTACGGCGAGCCGTCGAAATTCGCCACGCAGTGCCGCCACAGGATGGAGAAGCTCTGGTAGCGTCACAACGCCGCGAAGAAGCACCTTGGCCAGAGAACCAAGTCCGGCGGTGGCAGCAGAGTTAAAGAGAGGGTGAGAGGCGATGGAGAAGTAGAGGATCAGCACGATCCTGCAGTCACAGCAGAAGATTGTTGACTCCATTACTCCATTAACCGCTTTGGGGTCTCCCAACAAGCTGAGCAGCAGCTGATCATGTGTTCATCCAGCTACTTCGTAACTTAGGTTGATTTTCGATTTTAATATATAATAATATGGTTTTTGTGTTTCAAAGTTTGTTGTTGAAATGGATTTGTATAGCGAAAGTTGAGCCCCAGATTTCATGTCTGTAGGTGGGTCCCACATTTTAAAAATAAATATACTTAAATAATTTTAGTATTTAATTAATTTTTTAATTCAATTGGATATGGAAGTGGTACTATCTCAAACTACGTCAGCATTTAATTGAGAAATTAATAGAAAAACTAATATATATACGATAGTGCAACAAATTTGTTAAATGATGTATGACATTGTAATTTTTAAAACATAAAACATGCAATTGTAGTTCGACCCTTAATTAAGGTAATTTTGTGTAATTAATCCAATCTAAACATAAACTTGCCAAGCAACTTTGATTTCTAAATTGTATTTGTTGTGGTAGTAGTGCTAATGGGCCGGGCTCATAGGACCAGTGGCAGTTTTGAAATATCACAACAAATACAGTACCATTTTTGTCACAAAAAATCAAAACGAAAAAATTGATTAACGACGATCGCTTTTTAACCCAAAACTATTGCCATCTCCGTCGTGTTCTGATTTTCCTCCGAACCGGAGAAGAAAGGCAACCAAATTCCCGTTGTACGTCGTCGTTTTCTAAGGCATCGAAATCTTCATCCTTTGAATTCGTGGTATTCTGATTCTTCTCGGCGCTCCTCAAGCGTATGGCAGCCTGAGCGCGTGGCGCTCTCGATTGATTCCATGGTCTGATCTTCCGCGAATCGCAATCCGACGGTGGCGATGGCGTCGGCGCAGGGCCAATCAGGGGATTTGGATCTCTTCAATGCGTATTTCCGACGAGCCGATATGGACCTGCAGCATAAGATGACTATGGAATAATTAGGATTGTCGCATACAGGGGAAATGTTCTTGGGTCATGATCGTATCGACAAATAGGTTCTTGAATCTGTATACTTGTTTTGCTGAAGGAACTTCCGTATAAAATGATCACCGGGGGCATATTATGTTAAATATTGCTTACATGAATGCACTTTCTCATTATCTTTTTGTAACACAAGTTTGGATCTGTTCGGTTTATATTGGTTGCTTATATTTGTAACAGCTTATTGCAACCTTCTAGCTCAATATTTTTGAGAGTGGGGAGAAATTCAATTGATGATGTGTATAGCTGTTCAACCACTACTCTACTTAAATTTAAGGGCTTCAAATTTTTCATTGGCTCCAAGATCTTTGGGAAGTTTCGAAGTGTAGAGCATCCAGAAAGATCGAGTTCCTCGAAACATTTCAACTTACAAATGCTCTTTGGGGTACTTGAAAGTCGTTTCAATAGCGGAGCAAGGAATTTTTTACCGGGTGGGCTAGTTTAAAATTTTAAATCTTTTTAAATAAAGAAGCTTGATACCCTATTTCTCATAGTATCAGCTAGTTTAAAAAATTTCACAAGATGAGCCAAAAACGTGTTAAAATTAAACAAATTCAAATTTGTACATGTACAAGAAGCGATGAGAAAAATAATGTAAGAAAAAGAGATGATTCGCAAACTGTATTATATAATTGGGTAAAGTACAAAAAAATATCTCAACTATTGATGTCACGACACTTTCATACCTCATCTTTTAAAATTGACAATGTCATACCTTATCTTTAGAATTTGGTCCAATGTTATACCTTCCGTTACTTGGCCGTTTACTTTTCAGTTAAATGCTGACGTGGCTTGATTCGGGATCCACTTTCTATTAAAAAATCATTAAAATATTATTAAAAACTAAAAAAAATTATTTAATATTATTAAAATATTAAAATAATAATAATAAGTTAAAAAAAAAAAAAAAAAAAAAAACACCATCAGTTCGTCGCTCCCCCCTACCCCCTCCTCTCTCTTCTCCCCATCTTCATTTTCTTCCCCCCCACCAGCAAACCCAACAAAAAAAAAAAAATTTGAAAACCCAACAACCTCCCCTGCGGAAGAACAAGAAGGAGAAGGAGGAGGAGGAGGAGGAGAAGGAGAAAGAAGAAGAAGAGGAAAAAAAAAAAATTTGAAAACCCATCAACACCCCCCTGCGGAAGAAGAAGAAGGAGAAGGAGAAGGAGGAAGAAGAAGAGGAAAAAAAAGAAGGAAAAAAAAAAATTTGAAAACCATCAACTCCCCTGCGGAAGAAGAAGAAGAAAAAGAAGGAGGAAGAAGAAGAAGAGGAAAAAAAATAAAAAAATTTTGAAACCTCGTAGTTGGAATTCTTTTGAGAGCAGGGAGAAACTCGATTGATGATGGTAGCTCTTCAACCACTGTTGCACTTAAATTTAAGGACTTCAAATGTTCCATTGGCTCCAAGATCTCTGGGAAGTTTTCAAGTTCAGAGCAACTAGAGAGATCGAGTTTCTCGAGATATTTCAACTTACAAATGTGGGTTGGTAGACTCACAAGTCTCTTGAAACCAACCAATGATAATTTAGTTATATCCCTGGGAAGCTCAGAAAACTCGTCAAGAGATGTGCAGCTCGCAATACCCAAAACATTCGAGACTTTCAGCTCACAGTTGTTGCTTGGAAGTTTCTCAAGGTCTTTGCAATGACTTATATTCAAGTAAGAAATATTTTCATTAGACCAAATTGATTAAGGCAACTCCTTTATACCAGTGTCTTGTAATTCTAAGTATTGAATATTTTCTGACATCTCTAGAAGATACTTGAGAGTCATGCAGTATCCAAGCTCAAGACAAGTAAGCTTGTGGAGATGTTGAAAATACGAAGGAATTTCAACCAAACTAAAACAACCGTTGAGATTTATGTTCACAATTTTTAGACTCCCGGAGAGATTTGGAACTTCAATTACATATAAAGAGTACGACATATCGATAACTTGTAAGTTCACAAGTCTCTGTAATAAGAGTAAAGAGACTTATCAAGAATTAATATAGTTAATTTCTACACTTGATTTTATACAAGAACTAAAATAGGCATATAATATAATATACCTGCTCTTTTTTCCAAAGCTTTTTAACTCGGCTAAATTGTATATGAAGCTCAACTAGATTTCCTGGACAAAAAATTGACAGCAAAGATACCAGTGGATATCCCAGCCAGTAAAGATAATGAAGAGAATCGGGAGGGTCTAGAGAAGCGGTCATTCCGCCCAATTTAACAATTAGCATTATTAGGTTAGACATCTTTTTGAACTCAGAGCGTTTCAATGGTCTAACTTGAATCTTAGACCAATTAACGAATATGGCTTCAACATTTGGAGTTTCCTAAGAAGAAGAAGAAAATTTAAATGTGAATATAAACATGTTGAAATGTAACGCATATTTGGAAAAAAAGTATTTCCAATGGTAATGTGTCTTAGTCTAATTAAATATCCAAGATATTTGGTTCATATTCCAAAGACTCCAAAACACAATAAAAATTCAATCAAATTCATCTTTTAACAATCTGACTTCTTTATTATAAATTAGTTTTATTTTGTTCTGTTATCATCTAAAGTTTGTAATTTTTTTTCCAAAACAAAAAAATGAAAAAAAAATTGAATGCATTTGGCTCTTACCGTGTTACTCTTCAATACACAATAGGCATCCTCATTGGTGAACAACCTATTCCGTTTACAGGGATCTTTAATACATTGTTCCTAAACAATTGTCCTTCCCATTTCTTGTAGCAAATCGTGCATCTCTATGGTTTCCCTTCCCCAATCTGAACCAATTGATATGAGAGACATATCAATGAGAATTCTAATTTCGGCTGTCGCAAAAAATCCAGGAACATCTAACTTTCATTGTACCTTATCCATAGGCCACCCTTTCCAAAAACATGCTATATCCAGAAATATCTCCTTCTCATTTATTTCCAATCTATCATAACTTACTCTCAACACTTTCTGGATACTTTCACTAGGAAATCGTTTTAGTTTGTTGAATTCAGAATTCATCTTCCCAATCTTCTTTGCTCTTGCAATTGAAGAACAATGACCCCAAAACTGTAAGAGCCAAAGGAACGCCTCTGGCATAATGCACAACCTTTTCTGCCGACTCGTTATAATTTGTTCTACGAGTAATGTTATTCTTGAAAGCACGCGAACAGAAAAGCTAAAGAGCGTCATCTGGTTTTAATACCTCAACCTCGTAGATATTATCCTCTTCAATAGTTTGCCCAAGTGTGCCCCTATCTCTAGTTGTGATAATGATTATACTTCCATTGCCATATAGAAGATGATCGCCAGCTAAACGTTTCATTTGCATTGAACTACCCACATCATCAAGAACAATGAGGACCTTTGTGCGGCTAAGCCTTTCTCGAACCAAAGTTGATCCTACGGGCACAACTTATTCCTTTAATATCTCCTTAAGAAGTGTTTTTCCAAGTGATCTAGTCCACTTGCTTGTTATGAGTTCTCTATAACATTCTTAAGAAAACTAGAAGCTTCAAATTTAGAAGAGTATCTGCGAAATACAGCCTCGGCAAGGGTGGTCTTGCCAATACCACCCAAGCCCCAAATACCGATAGTGATGCAAGCATCATGTGAATGAATGCCTAACAGCAATTCGATCTGCTTGATGTGGCTTTCAATTCCAACAAACCCATTTAAATTGCATGATGATTGGCGACACAATTGTATCCAAATATGATTGACAACCTTTTGAATTAGATTTGCCTCCGTCCTGGCATATAGATATATATGATTAGGTAGAAAAACAATAGTTAGTCTTAAATACGCTTTACCAAATCTTAACACAAATCAAATTGTCACAAGTTTAAATAAAATTTATAATATTATAAAAGTTAAAAGGATGAGTTAGTTACCCGGATTTGAGATTGAACAAGATTTGGAATTTTTCTTTCCGAGCACAAGTGACAAATCAATTCATTGAATTATAGAGTCTCATCCCATTTAGTTTGATTTCATTATAAGATATACAAAATCATTACAACTATCAATCTTACCACCATATTATAGTGAAATCAAACTAAACAGATCTTAATAGTTATCCATTAATAAATATTCAACGGGTTAGTTTGTCACTTCTATTTCCGAGGCTATCGAAAGGTCCTAAGAAAGTCCAGAACTCTGCCTGAATATATGTGCCTTGGCCAAAGTAAGAGAGTCATGATTCCCTTCGAATCCTCATTGTGAGGATCCTAGGGATCAATTAATCCTAACCGCTCACCACATATCCTGCAGCTGAAAATTATTATGCCATGTAGAAAAAATTAAAAATTCAAATGATTTCTTGCTGCATGATGTGTGGTGAGTGGCTATGATTGATTGATCTAGGATCCTCACAATCAAGTTCTAGAGGGGATCCTGATCCTTTAGCTTTGATCAGCAGACCATCTAATGAAAAAGATCCTCTTCGGATCCTCTTTGTGAGAATCACAGGGATCCTCACATCCTATCCGTTCATCGTACATTGTGCAACTAAATTTCAAATAAAAAATTCAAAATAATTTATGGTCGTACGATATACGATGAACGGATAGGATGTGAAGATTCCTAGGATCCTCACAAAGAGGTTCCATTTGGGATTCGAATCCCAATAAAACTTAATCTTGACAAAGACAGCTAACCTACACCTGGTAGGTCACCATAGCACTCAGGTTATGTCCTTGTTCATTTATTATAGCCCAATATGTCACAGTATCGTACCAAATGTACACGACTCTTCAATTAAATATAAAAGCGACTAAAACATTTGAAAATGAATGAGCGAACCTTGATATAGAAAATACACAGCTCCCAAATTGGCTTCGGTGAACTAAAGTTTAGCTTGATTATGAAAAAAACAAGTGGTGGATTATCCTTATGGTTAAGGAATATCTCTTCAACTCACTATGTCACGCCCCGATCCTGACATACGTCCAGGATCGAGACGTGACGTCATCAAGTATCCGTATATCTAACATACCCCGCCTCCGGAATATATACAAAGCATAACTCAAGATTCGAATTACGTAGAAATTTGCGTATACTTTATGGTTGCATCTAACCTCCTCGTTAAACTGCCTACATACCCTAAATAGGGATCAAGCCATTTGTAGTTCACCATTCACTACATTCGAACATTCATCACATAAACCATTTGTCCCAACATAATACCACGATTCAGGCATGCAACATCTCAAGGAACATATTATGAAGCACAATTATATTCTCTAGTCATCTTGCCATTCAGGCACACATATGTTTTCCAACACCATTCAATAATCACAGCAATCAATAACACATAGAATACATCAAAATTCAGGGCTAAAGCGACACAGTTCGGCCGAAGCCTACATCTTTGAAGCTGAAATCGAATCCAAGTAACCAATAAGTCAAATGGTGTGATTTCAGACCACTCAATGAAATCCATCAACATCAGGTTCCGGACCACTCAACGGAACCAAAACACCAAGTGGGATTCTGGACCACTCAACAGAATCCAAACCAAGATAAGATTCCAGACCACTCAATGGAATCGCTAAGTATAAGGGATTTCGGACATCTCAAAGGAATCCGAGTGGATACGATTTCAGACCACTCAACGGAATTGTAGAGTACAATGCATAACGAACCACTCAATGAAACCCAAGCTGGATACGATTTCGGACCACTCAACAGAATCGCAGAGCACGAGGGATCCCATACCTCTCAACAGAATCCAGACGAAGCAAAGAACTGGACCACTCAACGAAACCCTAGCGGAACCCAGTTCTGAACCACTCAACGGAATTGAGCGGAAGTCCAAAAAGTATAACAACAGCTCGAAGAAACAAAACATGAATCAGGTTACTTAATTCACAAAGGCTCAACGAAATGAAACAAGCACAAGTACTAAATTCAGAACGGGTCAACAAAGCGAGAAATGAAACAATATCGAAGCAACAAATCCCCATCACAATGGGTTAACGGTCCACTACTAGCCCTCACATTTCACAAGAAATTCAATATGCATTTCCAATACACAAGTCAAATCCACAGTTCTAAAAAATCTCCGCCTAGCACTACCTAGGTCCCACCTAGGTGCTAGGTAGTTGGCCACCACCCCGATTAATGCTTAGGCGTTTGAAAATTTAGAAATGACGCCTAGATTTGCTGAGGCGCCAGCCTAGACCGCCCAGACACACCTAGACACCTGCCTAGTTTGCAACTCACTTAGACAAAAAATAGATAACTTTCATTTTGCATTATTTTTTTTTTAATAAATTGTAAGAAACTTGTTGAATACTAAAATGAACACAAATTATATGCTTGTTTCCCATGTTTTCATTATGTTTCAATAGTTCATAATATATATGTCATTCTATTTTGTAATTTATGATGTAATTATATATATTTTAAGTATAAACAGACACTTATTTACAAGAAATATAACAGATTTACTTAAATCCGCCTAGTTCGCCTAGCCGCCCACCTAGACCCTACCTAGCCGCCTAGGCGCTAGGCCCTAGCTCACCATCCGACTAGAGCCTAGCGTCTTTTAGAACCTTGGTCAAATCACATTTCGTAATAATAGATCGATGGCTAATTGTTATAATGACATTTTCAATAAAAAACACATTTATAAAACCAAGTGATATCCTCATAGGATACTAAATACGAAAACAGGGTAATAACTATACCACATATATTAAAGTCACTCACATTTCACCACATCATACCAATCACTATAGTTTCAACATGATAGCTCAATCCATAGCTTGTAACATATCAAAGAATCACGAAGCACAATATTATTCTCAAGCCACATTGATCAACTAATCTAATCATAATAATAAAAATCATATCCAACGTCATTCCACAATCTTGTCCATTAATCAATTCTGCAAATCAAGGATGCATAATATTAACATTTAACTACGTTAATCAATCAATGAGATAACATATCATTTCACGAATTTAATTAAAGAACTCTACATAATTCCCTACTAGGATTATGATTAATAACATGGCATATCTAATTTATATTCACAAGATCTATTGTGGGTAATTGTCATTCACTCGAATCTAGAGTTCCAGACTAACCTTATGGAAATGAGTAAGAGTAAGGATTCCGGACCACTCAACAAAATCCATCTAAAATATGACACCTACCGAATGTACCAAGTACAACTAAGCCTCATCACCCCTAGAATGCATGTGGTCCTCCGTTCGCGAATATACCAAGCAAGACCATCCATGTACCACTGCTACATGGTGCAGTAATCTAGCAAACAACTTACCACTACCTCAACCCCTATAAATTACAATGTAGGCACCTGCACTATCAACTTCTTATGGCCACCAACTATCATATCATGCAAGCATATAAATTCTACATAATAGTTCTAATAGGATTCTAGGATCACATGGTCATAACCTTTATCATTCATATCATTCATATTATCAAGAAAATAACTAAACACATATATATCACAATATGATGTCCCATACACGTAAACTGAGGTATATATTATATGGGATAACTCACTAACCAATATAGGGCCGTGACTTGAGACGGACCCCATTCCTTAGTCCAACTAGATAAAATATTAATTAAATATTAAAATTAAATAATAAATCATTTAAGTATAGGGCCTTGACTTCCATATTCTCCAGTTGTCATTAAAGGTCATCGAGGCGGTAAACTGAGCATAGGGCCCACGTTTCATTAAGGGCCCACGTGTAATTAAGGGCCGATGTTCCATTAGCTCCATGATCTCTTGGTAGTTTTTAAGTTTAGAGCACTCAGAGAGATCGAGTTCCTTGAGACATTTCAACTTACAAATGTCGTTTGGTAGACTCACAAGTCTCTTGCAACCAACCAATGATAATTTACTTATATCCCTAGGAAGCTCAGAAAACTCGCGAAGAAATGTGCAGCCATCTAGATAAAAACTACCAAAGAATTTCATCTTACATCTGTTGCTTGAAAGTTTCTCAAGGTCTCTGCAATATCTTATATTGAAGTAAGAAATATTTTCGTTAGACCAAACTGATTCAGGCAACTCCTTTATACCACTACTTCCTAAATCCAAGTATTGAATATTTCCGGGCACCTCTGGAAGATACTTGAGACGCTTGCAGTTTCCAAGATTAAGATGAGTAAGCTTGTCAAGATGTTGAAAATACGATGGAACTTCAACCAAACTTTCACAGCCCCAGAGATCTATCTTCACAAGTTTTAGACTCCCAGAGAGATTTGGAACTTCAGTTAGATTTTTAGAGTGATGCAAATCGATCACTTGTAAGTTCACAAGTCTCTGTATCAAGAGTAAATAGAAATATAATTAATTTCTACACTTGATTTTACACAAGAATTAAAATAGGCATATAATATAATATACCTGGTCTCCATTCCAAAGCTTCTTAACTTTGCTCTGTCGCATATGAATCTCAACTAGATTTTCCGGACAAAAATTTGACGGCAAAGATTCCAGTGGATATCTGGGCCACTCAAGATAACGAAGAGAATCAACAAGGTCTAGAGAAGCGGCGAGTTGGTAGCCATCAACCGCAATTAGCATTATAAGATTAGACATCTTTTCGAAGTCTGCACGTTTCAATGCTCGCGTTTCAATGTAAGACCAATCAACCTGTATGGCTTCAACATTTGGAGTTCCTGAGAATAACAAGAAAGTTTAAATGTGAATATAAACATGTTAAAATGTAACACACATTTGGAAAAAGAGTATTTCCGATGGTAATGATGTACAAGTGTCTTATAGTCTAGTCAAATATCCAAGATAATTGGTTCATATTCCAAAGACTTCCTAACACAATAAAAATTCAATCAAATTCATCTTTTAACAATCTGACTTCTTTATTATAGTTTTACTTTGTTCTGTTATCATCTCAAGTTTGTAATATTTTTTCCAAAAAAAAATTAAAGCAAAAAAAAATAAAATAAATTGAATGCATTTGGCTTTTACCGTGTTACTCTTCAATACACGATAGACATCCTCATTAGTGAACAACCTATTCCGTTTACAGGGATCTTTAATACATTGTTCCTGAACAATTGTCTTTCCCATTTCTTGTAGCAAATCGTGCATCTCTATGGTTTCCTTTCCCCATTTTGAATCAATTGATATGAGAGACATATCAATGAGAATTCTAATTCCAACTGTCGTAAAAAATCCACGAAGATCTAACATTTGTTTTACCTCATCCATAGGCCACCTTTTAAAAAAAACATGCTATATCCAGAAATATCTCCTTCTCATTTATTTCCAATCTATCATAACTTATTCTCAATACTTTCTGGATACTTTCACTGGGAAATCGTTTCAATTTGTTGAATTCATCTTCCCATTCTTCTTTGCTCTTGCAATTGAAGAACGACGACCCCAGAACTATAAGAGCTAAAGGAACGCCTTTGGCATAATGCACAACCTTTTTTGCCGACTCCTTATAATCTGTTTTATGAGTACTGTTATTCTTGAAAGCAAGTGAATAGAAGAGCTGAAAAGCGTCATTTGGTTTTAATACCTCAACCTCGTAGATATTACCCTCTTCAACAGTTTGCCCAAGTGTACCTCTATCTCTACTTGTGATAATGATTCTACTTCCAATGCCATACAGAAGACGATCGCCAGCTAAATGTTCCAATTGCATTGAATCACTCACATCATCAAGAACAATGAGGACCTTTGTGCGACTGAGCCTTTCTCCAACATAAGTTGATCCTATGGATGAACTTTCTTCCTTTAATATCTCCTTAACAAGTGTTTTTTGCAACTCTTCTAACCCATCTTTTTGTTCTCTCTCCCTAACATTTCTAAGAAAACAGGAGGCTTCGAATTTAGAAAAGAGTTTGTGAAACACAATTTCAGCAAGGGTGGTCTTGCCAATACCACCCATGCCCCAAATACCTATAGTGATGCAACCATCCGGTGAATGAATGCTTAATAGCGATTCGATCTTCTTAATGCGGCCTTCAATTCCAACAAAGCCCTTTAAATCGTAGGATGATTCACAACACAATTGGGTCCAAATATGATCGACAACTTTCTGAATTAGATCTACCTCCGTCCTGACGTATAGATGTATATGATTAGGTAGAAAAGCAATAGTTAGTCTTAACTACGTTTTACCAAATCTTAGCTCAAATCAAATTGTCACACGTTTAAAGAAAATTTATAACTTTCGGCAAGTTAAAGAATGAGTTAGTTACCCGGATTTATTTGAATGATCAAACCCAGATAGATTGGATGCAGTCGTCAAAGCATCCCTCCACTTGTGCACCTTGTCAATATTGTTAGCGAATCGTTTTTCAAGTTGAGCAAATGCATCTGCATAACTCCCGTGTTGTTTTCGTACATCAGATGGATTGATGTCATAGAATACGGGTATAACCATCCGGCCTTCTCTGTTGTTGCATTTGAGTATATGCACAAGCTCATCCAGACACCATGTGGAAGAAGCATAGTTTTGTGAGAAAATGATCACCGAAATGGTGGATTTCTCGATTGCTTCTAGAAGGGCAGGTCCGATTTCTTCTCCTCTCTGAAGTCTGTTATCGATGTAGGTTTCAATTTTCTTCTGAAGTAAGGCAGCATGAAGATGGCTGGTAATACCAAGGCGGGTGTCCTCACCTCTGAAACTGATAAACACATCATACTTTTCTCGACGTGGGGGGTTATCATCAGCGGATGAAGAAGAAGAAGAAGCAACGTCCATTACCTCTAGTTTTCAGATCCAGCAAAAAGATGTAGTTGCAGACAGATTAATTTTTAAATAAGGATATATAATATTATGACGTTGCAAGAATTAAGGAGAATTTACTTAGAATTGGCACAAAGTTTGAATGAGAGAGAGATGAACGAAAGTAGAAAATGGGCTAAGACTAGAGTGAGCAGGCTTCAGGCCTGGTTCCCTTTTGTTTCCCTTTTTTTTTTTTTTTTTTCAAATTTTGTTAAGGTTTAAGAAACCCTAGAATTGTTTCTAATTTGATTTTATACTTTGACTCACATATTCCACATAGCAATTTAATTGCGTAATGCATGAAACAAATACATAAACATATACAATCAATATATATATATATATATATATATCGTAAGGAAAATATAAACATAAAGGAGTTCGTGTATCATGAAGAATGTTTTCATGCTTCATGGACGTTTCAAATATCTTACTTTATTTTAAGCGTACCAGATTAGCATAAAACAAATATAAGCCTTTGAATTTTATAGAAGATAGCATCCTCCTACGATACGTCAAATTCCTCAGCTTCTGTTAAGAGCGTGCTGATTACGTGTTGTAAGCCTATTTGATTGAACTAATCTAGGGGATTAGGGAGAGAGGGGGCTGACCACAATTAGAGAGAAGAGAGAGTGATTTAATTGTGAGGTGTGTTTGTATCACCCCATTGTGCCTTTATTTATAGTAGTATGATAAGTAAAAACCTTTCCCTTTAGGATTACAACATTTAATAGATAATCAACTCCTGATAGGAATATAAGATACTTTTCCATATTCTCTAGGATTTACATAATCACGTTCCTATTCTAAATATGACTGCAACAATATGATGATTATAAAAATAAGAAAAGTTTGCAACATTTAGAGAGAAATCACGATTTGAATTTCCAATCCCATATAATTCCCACCACTCAATTATATCAATAGGCAGACAAATGCAAATTTCGAATTTGTTTCTTCTAAAAGGTAGCATAACTAAGACTCCGAATCCGGTTATGCTTGCGTCCACGAGTTCCTGCCGTCGAGTACTACAAGGATACGCTAAAAAATGTTTCATACGTCTCACTATATGCTGGTCAACGAAGGTCAACAATCTCGCCTCTAGAGACATTTTCGTCAATTCGCTGCCTTAAATTTAATAAAGCCGTATAATTGGGGACGGGTTTTTACATATTGTGTGGGTCCCATTAATGCACTAATTATAGATCTTGAAAATTTATTTTAATTGATTTCTTTTTAAAATGAGACCTACAAATATCATTTAACAAAAAAAACGTATCGGTTGGAAAAAGAAAAAAATCTGACATTGTCACGTCAACTATCAAATTAACATTTGACATTTACCTTTTGACATATCCTTTGAAAAACCTTTAACGTTAACTTTTACCCCAGTCATTGTAAAGATGCTCTGACCCACCATTGACATAGTTATATTGGCTTCCTTGGAAACTCTTTTCCATGAAAAAAAAAAAAATTCCATTTTGTCACACATACCACATGAATATTGCTCAAATTTAATATCGATGTTGTAACTCCAAATTTCCAAATACAAGTTATGTCCGTACTCATAACTTACAGTTTACACGTAAGCAACTGTTCTTAGCATTTGCAAATAAGAAGGTGCAGCTATTTGTATTAAAAAATAGTTAGGAGCATATAAATTGACATGTACTTTTATAAAATTCAATAAATTTATCTCGGTTGTCGAGACATTTGCTACAATTGAGAACAAAAGAAACTCCCACAACAAAGTTGCACACTTCAATGCAGAATGGCCGGCTAACATATACAATTACAAAAAAAATGGAAGACAAGGTTGTAGCTCCAATTAAGAATGCATTACATTATTTGTCAATGTTTACCAATTACATCAATTACTAGGGCCGGTTCTTTGGTTTTGATTACTTCAAAGATCCCTAATCTTTTATTGAATGGACCTTTCCATGCACATCATGCAATACAAGAAGTTTGGGGACTAATTAAATAGCGAAAATGATGCTCAAAAGGAATCAATCCAAATGCCTTAATTGTGCCAACTAATGGAGTTATTTAAAGGGTTCATAATCATATTTTAGAATACTAATAATTGATCATCTCGTTAAAGAAGAAGAGGATGTGAAACCGACGAAAAGCAACACAACACCGTCGTGAACATGAGCTGCTTATTGGTCATGATAACTGTATATAATCTATAGGGGTGTTTAGATTATGAATTAGATTTCCTCTTTAACTAAATTTACAAAACGATGTGCAGTTGCAGTTTACAATTTGACAATATAACATATCAAATATTTGGCAAACAAATCACTATGATTTCTAAATTGTAGCTTCCTTCTCAATCTCGCATTAATTTGTACCTTTCTCTGTGTGCACGCTTTTGTATCCCCACCATGTACAAGTTGACAAATCGAAAACATAAACTTGCCAATCAACTCTGACGTCAAAATATTGGCATCTCCTTCGTGTTCTGATTTTCCTCCGAATCGGAGAAGAAAGGCAACCAAATTCCCGTTGTACGTCTTTGTTTTCTAGGGCATCGGAATCTTGGTCCTCAGAATTCGTGGTTTTCTGATTCTTACCGGCGCTCCTCAAGCGTACGGCAGCCTGAGCGCGGCGCTAAGTCCATGGTCTGATCTTCCGCGAATCGCAATCCGACGGTGGCGATGGCGTCGGCGCAGGGCCAATAATAGAATTTGGATCTCTTTGATGCATATTTCCGACGAGGCGTTTTGGATCACAATGGACAGATTAGTGGCAATGAAGCCGTCGCTTTCTTCCAGGGCTCCGGTCTCCCCAAACGGGTCCTTCTATATATATGTATACGCTTGTGATTTATGTATTATATTTGTGTAATTATAGCGGTTGATTGGGATTTGATGCTGGTGGAAATGTGTTCCGAATGAGATTGATTTTGAATTTTCAGTCTAATTGTAGTTGAAGTGGTAAATGTGAGCTCTTGGGATGTCTTAATTCTTTTATCTAAGTTGAGATTTGTATTTCGTGTTAGTATAAATGCGGAATTGATGTTCAAACGGTAGAAAATAAGTAGATGAAGGATTTATAGTTAGTGAGGTTGAGAGAGTTATGCAATCACTTATATTCAAGCAAGAAATATTTTCGTTAGCCCAAATTGATTCAGGCAACTCCTTTATACAAGGCCTTGTAAATCTAAGTATTGAATTCTTCCTGGCATCTCTGGAAGATACTTGAGACTCCTGCAGTACCCCAGATCAAGATGAGTAAGCTTCTCAAGATGTTGAAAATACAAAGGAATTTCAACCAAACTTTGACAGTGCCCGAGATTTATCTCCACAATTTTTAGACTCCCAGAGAGATTTGGAACTTCAGTTAGACAGTTAGAGTCCGACAGATCGATAACTTGCAAGTTGACAAGTATCTGCAACAAATGAAATAGAAATATAAAGAATTAATATAATTTCTACACTTGATTTTATACAAGAATTAAAATAGGCATATAATATAATATACCTGCTCTTCTTTCCAAAGCTCCTTAAATTTGCTAAATGGCATATGAATCCAGTGGATATCTCCACCACTCAAGATAACGAAGTGAATCGGGAAGGTCCAGAGAAGCGTTGAATGTGGCGTTGAATGTGTAGCACCATAGACAATTAGCAATCTTAGGTTAGACATCAGTTTGAAGTCTGCACGTTTCAATGGTCGCTCTGCAATGTAATGCCAATTAAGGACTATGGCTTCAACATTTGGAGTTTCCTGACAATAAGAAGAAAGTTTAAATGTGAATATAAACATTTGGAAAAAGAGTATTTCTGATGGTAATGATGTACAAGTGTCTTAGTCTATTAAATATCCAAGATATTTGGTTCATATTCCAAAGACTTCCTAACACAACAAAAATTCGATCAAATTCATCTTTTAACAATCTAACATATTTATTATAAATTAGTTTTACTTTGCTCTGTTAATCTAAAGTTTGTAATTTTTTTTTTCCTAAAGGAAAGAAAAGAAAAAAATTGAATGCATTTGGCTCTTACCATGTTACTCTCCAACACATGATAGACATCCTCATCAGTGAACAACCTATTCCGTTTAGAGGGATCTTTAATACATTGTTCCTGAACAATTGTCCTTCCCATTTGTTGTAGCAAATCGTGCATCTGTATGGTTTCAACTTTCCGTGTTGAATCAATTGATATGAGAGACATATCAATAAGAATTCTAATTCCGGATGGCCAAAACAATTCATGAACATGTATCATTCGTCTTACCTTATCCACACACCACCCTTTAAAAAAACATGCTATATCCAGAAATATCTCCTTCGCATTTCTATCCAATCTATCATAACTTATTCTCAACACTTCCTGGATACTTTCACTGGGATATCGTTTCATTTTGTTGAATTCATCTTCCCATTCTTCTTTGCTCTTGCAATTGAAGAACAAAGACCCCAGAATTGTAAGAGCTAAAGGAACGCCTCTGGCATAATGCACAACATTTTTTGCCGACTGCATATAATCTGTTCTACGAGTACTGTTATTCTTGAAAGCACGCGAACAGAAGAGCTGAAGAGCGTCATCTGGTTTTAATACCTTAACCTCGTAGATATTATCCTCTTCAACAGTTGGCCCAAGTGTGCCCCTATCTCTAGTTGTGATAATGATTCTACTTCCAGTGCCATATCGATCGCCAGCTAAACATTCCACTTGCATTGAACTACTCACATCGTCAAGAACAATGAGGACCCTTGTGCGGCTGAGCCTTTCTCGAACCGAAGTTGATCCTATGGGCAGAACTTCTTCCTTTAATATCACCTTAAGAAGTGTTTTTTCCAAGTGACCTAGTCCACCTGCTTGTTTTGAGTTCTCCGTAACATTCTTAAGAAAACAAGAAGCTTCGAATTTAGAAGAGTGTTTGTGAAATACAGCCTCGGCAAGGGTGGTCTTGCCAATTCCACCCATGCCCCAAATACCGACAGTGATGCAAGCGTCCTGTGGATGAATGCTTAATAGCGATTCAATCTTCTTAATGCGGCCTTCAATTCCAACAAAGCCCTTTAAATCGTAGGATGATTCACGACACAATTGGGTCCAAATATGATCGACAACTTTCTGAATTAGATCTGCCTCCGTCCTGACGTATAGATGTATATGATTAGGTAGAAAAGCAATAGTTAGCCTTAAATACGTTTTACCAAATGTTAGCTCAAATCAAATTGTCACACGTTTAAAGAAAATTTATAACTTTCGGCAAGTTAAAGAATGAGTTAGTTACCCGGATTTGTTTGAATGATCAAACCCAGATAGATTGGCTGCAGTCGACAAAGCATCCCTCCACTTGTGCACCTTGTCAATATTGTTAGCGAATCGTTTTTCAAGTTGAACAAATGCATCTGCATAACTCCCGTGTTGTTTTCGTACATCAGATGGATTGATGTCATAGAATACGGGTATAACCATCCGGCCTTCTCTGTTGTTGCATTTGAGTATATGCACAAGCTCATCCAAACACCATGTGGAAGAAGCATAGTTTTGTGAGAAAATGATCACCGAAATGGTGGATTTCTCGATTGCTTCTAGAAGGGCAGGTCCGATTTCTTCTCCTCTCTGAAGTCTGTTATCGATGTAGGTTTCAATTTTCTTCTGAAGTAAGGCAGCATGAAGATGGCTGGTAATACCAAGGCGGGTGTCCTCACCTCTGAAACTGATAAACACATCATACTTTTCTCGACGTGGGGGGTTATCAGCAGCGGATGAAGAAGAAGAAGAAGCAACGTCCATTACCTCTAGTTTTCAGATCCAGCAAAAAGATGTAGTTGCAGACAGATTAATTTTTAAATAAGGATATATAATATTATGACGTTGCAAGAATTAAGGATAATTTACTTAGAATTGGCACAAAGTTTGAATGAGAGAGAGATGAACGAAAGTAGAAAATGGGGCACATATTTTCTTTGAAACAAAACTATAATTTAAAGAAAGATATTCATATATTTGGAATCTTAATATGAACAACGTCATCTCAGCATGTAAAGGAAGACAATTGATCACGATGCAAACAAAACAAAGTGACATCCGGTGACAGGTCACCAGAGAAGAAATAACAGCAGACATAACAAAAATTAATTAGCAAATTAAATGCCAACATAACATAACAACTAAACTTATTAATTAAAAAGAAACGACAAAAAATATAGAAAGAGCCTTAAACAGTGTCAACAAACATTAAACACTGACTAACCTCTGACAAGTTACCAATTTGACAATGGCTTGTTTGTTTTCACCACCTTCAAAATAAGAAAACTTCACCTTCAAAATAATATATCCAAAACAATTAGTTTTTTTGTATCATCAGCACGAGCAGCAGCGGATGACGACGAAGAAGAAGAAGAAGGCATATCCATAACCTCTAGTTTTCAGATCCAGGAGTAGTAGTTGCAGAGAGATTAATTGTGAATAGAGGGAAAGAGAGACTGGTTCAAAATTAAGGAGGATCCAATAATGCGAGAGAGAGAGAGAGAGAGAGTAGTTCAGAAAAGAGAGAGGGGGAGAGGGAGACTAGTTCAGATTTTACTTGAAATGGTTTTTTACTAGATGCACAAAGTTTCAAAGGCTCTTCTGGAAAAGCTATGACTAAGAGATGACCAGTTACAAAAGCATAAAAAGGGGCACACAGGATGGGGCCCTCCCTTTACTTGCTTTGCCCACACGGTTTTGAGTTTTCCTTGATTAGTAAGTCACCAATTTCTTTCAAGAAATTTCCAAACAATTTCCAAGCAGTTTTAATTGAGGACATTTCTAGAATTTCCAAAAGAAAATATCTGAATTTCATGCTACAAAATCGTAGAGGGCCGAGAATGTAGTTGTTCACCAATGGAGATGGACAAGATTTGGAATCTATATTTCTGAGCACAAATAACAAATCAACTCATTAAATTATTAATGAACAATCTTTACAGTTACAAACTCAATTTGTTTGATTTCATCATAAGATATTACACAATCGTTATAACTATCAATTTCTGTTGAAAATAATGAGTTCCTTGTTTTAAGGAATGTTTTATTCCTTGTTTTAAGGAATGTTTTAAGGAATGTTTTATTCCATGTTTTAAGGAATGTTTTATTCCTTGTTTTATTCCTTGTTTTAAGGGGAATGTTTTTTTGTTTTTTCTTAGTCTTCTTCCTTATATATATCCGAACCATTGTACATTGCAATTCATGAAATATACATCACAAATTAAAGCTATAATTTCTATATGGTATCAGAGCAGGTTCATTTGTAACCTGTCTCTACAATTCTTGCTGCTGCGATTTTTTCTTTCTTTCAAAGTCTAAGCCATGACTGAAGAAAGTTCTGTCAACCATGATAAGGAAACCCGGCACAATCTCTCTCCAAACTCCTCAGACGTTGAGGTTAACACCAATCAACGTTTATGTTCAGTTCTCTTGAACGAGTTCAATTATCTTCCTTGGTCCCGAGCTGTTTCACTAGCTCTCGGAGGCAAAGGGAAGTTAGGGTTTGTAAATGGAAGCGTGGAAGCTCCAGATCGTTCTTCCTCTACATACAATGCATGGCTCTGCAAAGATCAACTTGTCATGTCCTTGCTGCTCAACACCATGGAGAAACATGTTGCTGAAATTTTTAGCTACTCCAACTCCGCCCATGATCTTTGGAAAGCTTTGCAGGATATGTATGGAAATCAAAACAACTATGCACGGGTCTTCCAATTAAAGAAGGACATTGCCAGTGCTCAACAAGAAGGGAAAGCATTTGTTCAACACCTTGGGAGTCTCAAAGCCATGTGGAATGAGTTGGATGTATATCTCCCTCATACCACAGATCCTACCATTCTCCTAAAACGAGCTGAGGAAGACAAAATTTATCAGCTGCTAGGGAGTCTGAGCTCTGAGTACGAGGACCTAAGGAGTCACATCTTGATGAGTCAAGATCTGCCTACCTTCAACAATGTTTGTGCAACTATCCAACGAGAAGAAGCAAGGAAGAAGGTTATGAATGTTGATCACAATCCTAGATTAACGGAGACTCGGGCATATGCATCAAATTACAAGAACTCAGAAGCCAAGGTATACAAGGGAAGAAACACACATCTAAAATGCAAATATTGCAATGGTGTTGGTCATGAGGAAGACAAGTGTTGGGAACTTCATCCTGAACTCAAGCCTAAGTTCAGCAAAGATGGAAGGATGATACCAAGGTCCTCACAACAATTTCAACCTCATTTCAAGGCAAAACTTGCTAATGCTCAAGCTCCTACTATCTCACAAGGATCCATGGAGTTCACTGCCAATCCATTGTCATTGATCAATGAATTTGCAGCTTACCTACAAAGTAAGGGGCACGGAGGAGGCTCACATGGTCAAGGCAATGAAGAGGGTAGTCACACAGCTATGTTGGGACAATTTGCCGGATTTCTTGCTGGAAATGAGAAAGTTCCAAAGGGAGAAGCATCAGGTATACTCAAAGCCTTTACTACTGCCCTATTAACTAGTACTGAAACAGATTGTTGGATAATTGATTCAGGCGCCACAGATCATATGACAAACAAAGTTACAAATTTACATCATTTCAAAAAATTTTCAAGCCCCTCACATGTGTCTGTTGCAAATGGAAAAAATGTCTTAGTTTTGGGAAAAGGAGAAATAAACTTACTCTCTCAAAAAACACCTTCCACTGCCCTCTATGTACCAACCTTTCCTTTTCAAATTTTGTCAATTGGAAAGATCACCAACACCCTAAACTGCCGTGCTATTTTCTCACCAAATAAAGTGATGTTTCAGGATGTTCTCACCATGAAGATGATTGGTGAAGGGGTCTTCATAAATGGCCTTTACTACCTGTGCAAGAATGCATGTTTCACTCAGGCTCTTCAAGCTCAATCAAAGTCCATAGATGAAAACCAACTTTGGCATAGAAGATTAGCTCATCCCTCTGAACTTGTCTTGTCGAAACTGTTTCCAAATTTTTGTAACCCTTATCCTACTTGTGATACTTGTCAATTTTCTAAGTTTACTAGGCTACCTTTTGGTAATTCAATGTCTAGGACAAGTAAACCTTTTGAAATGGTACACACCGATGTATGGGGACCTGCAACTGAATCAATGGAAGGTTTTAAATATTTTGTTCTATTTGTTGATGATTTCTCTCGAACAAGTTTTCTATATCTTATGAAATCAAAAAGTGAAGTCCCTACCATTTTCAAAGACTTTCACATGCATGTTAAAACGCAATTTCAATCAAACATTAAGGTTTTAAGGTCAGATAATGGCACTGAATTTCTATCCAACAATATGCTTCAATACATAAGTTCTCAGGGTATCATACATCAAACCAGCTGTGTGGGGACTCCCCAACAAAATGGAGTAGCCGAGAGGAAAAATAGAGATCTCTTGGAAAAAACTCGTGCTCTCATGGTTCACATGCACGTTCCAAAGAAATTTTGGTCGTTTGCCATCCTTACTGCCACTTATCTCATCAATCGACTTCCAAGTCGTGTGCTAGGGTTTAAATCTCCATATGAAGTTCTTAAGGGGAGGAAAATAGATTTGACACATCTCAAGGTGTTTGGTTGTGTGTGTTTTGTTCACATCCAAACCTTGAACCGTGACAAACTAGATGCCAGGGCAGCCAAGTGTGTGTTTATGGGATACTCGACCACTCAAAAGGGATACAAGTGCTTCAATCCAGTCACTAAGAAGTGCACAGTTTCAAGAGATGTGAAGTTCGAAGAAGACTATCCCTATTTTACAAGTCAGGGGGAGGATTTAGTTGACATGTTCCCACTTCCTCAAAACTTTAATTATCCGATGTTGGAAAATAGATCAGTCAGTGTAAGTCCAGATTGTGAAGAAGTTCAAACTAACCAAATTACTGCCAGTGAGAGTGAAGACGAGCCCTACTCTGATCATTCTCCGCCCTCTACAGAGTCTCAGGTGATTAAAAGAAATCCTCCTCGAATCAGAAAACCTCCAGTTAGGTTGCAGGACTATGTTACATATGCCTCACGACATCCAATCAATGAATGTATCAGCTTTAGTAAGTTCTCAACATCTCATGCTACATTTCTCAGTGAAATTGATAAGCACTATGAACCAAGAAGCTTTCAAGAAGCTTTT